AATATTTCCAGGAAATGGTAATATATTTGTTAATCAACGATAAACCAATTAACAGTCAATAATTCTTATTAAAGAATGCTGAAGTAAAATGAATTTAATTCGATTCACGTACATGTAGACACTATCCATCTGGTCGTGTGACTGATGTAACAACCCAGCCATAATTTCTAGAGAAAATGAGACGTTTTTACGCCTTAATTAAATGAACTCAATATTACTACACAACTGGTTAGTAGTGTTAGCAAATTATAATGCCTAGTACAAGGATTACTTCTTAAAGTACTAAGTGTTAGTAATTAAATGTTGGTAATTTCCAACAGTGACCATAGTGGTGACCATGGTGATGACTATTGTGGTGACCATGGTGATGACTATAGTGGTGACCATGGTGATGACTATAGTGGTGACCATGGTGATGACTATAGTGGTGACCATGGTGATGACTATTGTGGTGACCATTGTGGTGACTATTGTGGTGACCTGTTGTGGTGACTATTGTGGTGACCATGGTGTATGACTATTGTGGTGACCTGTTGTGGTGACTATTGTGGTGACCATTGTGGTGACCATTGTAGTAACCATGATTGTGGTGACTATTGTGGTGACCATGGTGGTGACCTATGATGGTGGTGACCTATTGTGGTGACCATTGTGGTAACCTATTGTGGTGACCATTGTGGTGACCATGGTGGTGACCATTGTGGTGACCTATTGTGGTGACCATTGTGGTGACCATTGTGGTGACTATTGTGGTGACCTATTGTGGTGACCATTGTGGTGACTATTGTGGTGACCATGGTGGTGACCATTGTGGTGACCATTGTGGTGACCTATTGTGGTGACCATTGTGGTGACCTGTGGTGGTGACCATGGTGGTGACCATTGTGGTGACCATTGTGGTGACTATTGTGGTGACCATTGTAGTGACCATTGTGGTGACTATTGTGGTGACCATTGTAGTGACCATGATTGTGGTGACCATTGTAGTGACCTATTGTGGTGACCTGTTGTGGTGACCATTGTGGTGACCTATTGTGGTGACCATGGTGGTGACCATTGTGGTGACTATTGTGGTGACTCATGGTGGTGACTATTGTGGTGACCTATTGTGGTGGACTATTGTGGTGACCTATTGTAGTGACCATTGTGGTGACCATTGTGGTGACTATTGTGGTGACCTATTGTGGTGACCATTGTGGTGACCTATTGTGGTGACTATTGTGGTGACCATTGTGGTGACCTATTGTGGTGACTATTGTGGTGACCATGGTAGTGACCTATTGTGGTGACTATTGTGGTGACCTATTGTGGTGACTTATGTGGTGACCATGGTGGGGACCTATTGTGGTGACCATTGTGGTGACCATGGTGGTGACCATGGTGGTGACTATTGTGGTGACCATTGTGGTGACCTATTGTGGTGACCATGGTAGTGACCATGGTGGTGACTATTGTAGTGACCATGGTGGTGACCATGGTAGTGACCATGGTGGTGACTATTGTGGTGACCATGGTGGTGACCATGGTAGTGACCATGGTAGTGACCATGGTAGTGACCATGGTAGTGACCATGGTAGTGACCATGGTAGTAACCATGATGGTGGTGACCATGGTAGTGACCATGGTAGTGACCATGGTAGTGACCATGGTAGTGACCATTGTGGTGACCATGGTGGTAACCATGATGGTGGTGACCATGGTAGTGACCATTTTAGTGACCATTGTGGTGACCATGGTTGTGGTGACCTATTGTGGTGACCATTGTGGTGACTATTGTAGTGACCTATGGTAGTAACCATATGGTGGTGACCATGGTAGTGACCATGGTAGTAACCATGATGGTGGTGACCATGGTAGTGACCATGGTAGTGACCATGGTAGTGACCATGGTAGTAACCATGATGGTGGTGACCATTGTAGTGACCATGGTGATGACTATAGTGGTGACCATGGTAGTGACCATGGTAGTAACCATGATGGTGGTGACCATTGTAGTGACCATGGTGGTGACCATAGTAGTGACTATCGTGGTGACCATCATGGTTGTGGGAACCTACCTTTGAGATTTATATTTATTTAATTTATATGAATTTATATATAATTAATATTTACATTAATTTATATATTTCGATAGCAATTTGTATGATGTTTAGCAGACTGTATTTCTGCAAATTTTCACAAATCGATCCTTACACATTAGGTGGGGTTTATATTAAAGTTATATATATGCAGCCAATCAAACTATAGTATTAAACTACATATATTAGTAAATACATTGAGGAGGTGCCTTATCTTATTGTACAGTTGGCTTAGTCCACCAAATATAACTAGGATGTAGACACCAATTTATCCTCGTGAGAAGCTAGCTTCCATCACCCAAGTAACTGATGTACTAACATTAATTCTTGCTTTCTCTTCTTGTTCCTGTCAAAGGGCACTAGCTGTAAAGCAGGAATCCTAATATATGACAGCTATATCAGAGAAAACATTTATATATTATTAGATAAGGACCGAGGGCTAATTACCTGTGTTTAGTGGTAAAAATATCCAGATTATCTCTTATGTTATCTACTTTGTTTGATGTACTTGCTATTTGTTATGATTCAATAATCCTGTGTAAGTGCTCCAACCTGGCTTGAGTTTCTTCTTCATATTGTGCTAGGTCAGATAGGAATGGTTCCACATCTTCAACTACAATGTCGTCGTCGTTGTGGACCTGATTTTGGTAAGATTTCCTATTTGTTTTCAATAGATGCAGCTGGATTTGAATCTGTAACAGTGGTATTTTCAACCGACGATAATTAACTACAGGCTCATATAACAACTGTTCACATTGGTCGAGATCTCTTGACAGTTGACGTTTATGTGCTGTTAAAACACGTTTTGCTTTCTGCGGATTAGTCATGGTGACTTGATAATTGGGTATTACTGGCTCATAAATTGTGAACAAGTACTGATGGTAGCCTAGGATAAAATTCTGCAATTACTAGGCTATAATCCTACCTCTTCTAGAGGTTAGCACTTAAAATTAATACACATTATAAGTATAATCATACATACTAATAATTTGAGTGATAAACTAGTGTCACTGGAAGTACCTTTAGGTTAGCTCCTCAATTATCACCCTAGGATGGTATAGACACTAATTAATCACTCAAAGGTATAATGATCATAAGTAAATTATTACATATACACAACTCAACTCAAGCTGGTAACAATTACACCCAAAATAGGGTCTGTACCATTCATTAATAGTGCTAGGTTGTTCAATATAGTACAACTAGACTATGGTAATAAATGGGACTAGGAAGAACAATAAATAGTTCAACTAGTCAATGGTAATAGGGGACTAGGTTATCAAACACTAGTCAATGTATATCCTACCCTGTTGTGGGTTGGCAATTGGTAAATATTGTATTGTGAAACTAGTGCATTATTTACTAAATAATTCTCTATATAAGAGAAATAATATACACAATTATTGATGATAGCCTCTTAATTAGCCTCTATGAAACTTCTAGTTTTATCTAGAAGTATTAAATATTATTAGTGACCTCGCAAAATTAACACCACAAATTCTTGGATAATCTTGCGAGGGCGCAGCCACTAATTTGGGTTGGCTTTAAAATAAGCACAGTAACTTCATGGAATAACACCCCCACCAAATTGGTGGTTGACCATGAAACCGCTGATGAAGCTGGGCTCGGGGTCGTAAGCAGATGGCGGGTCACCGCCGCCGGTCTCGATTGGCAATATATTGTTCACTAATTTATTACACTAGTTTATTAAATTTAATGATAATCTAGCTCTCTGGATCATCTTGGTTCGAATGACCATATAATGTGAGAGATTCGAATCGGTTCTGTACTATCTTGGTTCAAAGGACCATATATGTGGGAACCGACCTGTGGGATTTATATTTATTTAATTTATATGAATTTATATAGAATTTATATTTACGTTAATTTATATATTCCGATAGCAATTTGTATGATGTTTAGCAGACTGTATTCCTGCAAATTCTCACAAATCGATCCTTACACATTAAGGTGGGTTTATATTAAAGTTATAAATATGCAGCCAATCAAACTTTAGTATTAAACTACATATATTAGTAAATACATTGAGGAGGTGCCTTATCTTATTGTACAGTAGGCTTAGTCCACCAGGTATAACTAGGATGTAGACACCAAATTACCCTTGTGAGAAGCTAGCTTCCATCACCCAAGTAACTGATGTACCAACATTAATTCTTGCTTTCTCTTCTTGTTCCTGACAAACGGCACTAGCTGTAAAGCCGGAATCCTAATATATGACAGCTATATCAGAGAAAACATTTATACATTACTAGATATGCACCAAAGCCTAATTACCTGTGTTTAGTGGCTCGTTCGCATCCCAACCGGTCGCCCTACATCTACTTAACATTAATGGCCAGAAATGATTAGATAAACGGTTTTCGGTAAGACACTTCCCTTATTTAGATGTTGACTGCATGTTGATGATGGAAGAAGCACTAATTTGATCTCCATAACACTTCGTCCAAGAGAGTTATAAGAGCTGAATTTGCTCCTGCCACTATGTTCTTAACAATGGCTGATCTCACTCACCACTGACGTTCCTGGCTCTCTTTGTCCAGATGTCAATATGTGGTAGAAGGGTCACATTTACTCTATTTTGGTACTGATAATTAAGTTAATTCAAATGAGATGTTTTTATGATGTAATAAGTTCAAACACTACTGTATTTAAGAATAATTCCCAACAGAATAGCTGGTGAATTTATAGCACTGTGGCAATGATATCCCGTTTTCTATTGATGGAAAATTAATTTACAAGCTACATTTTTTATGGGTTAACTTGTGTATAGAACAGCAGCAATATTATCTGCCTATTGTATTAAATATTAGTAAATGGTATCGGGTTTTCCCGACCGTGGTGACCATGGTGGCGCCCTGAAGCAACAAAACACTAATACAAAGACTGGTGTTCACATATCAGCGCGCGAGTGTCAGGCTCGCTGGCGAGTCTTGAGGGACAAGTTCGTCCGCGAGATGAGGAAGAACGTGAACCCGAAGAGAGCCGGGTCGACGGCCCTCCAGGTGTATCAGGGCAGCTGGCCACTCATGTCCCAGCTCATGTTCCTCACCTCACATGTCAAGCACAGACCCTTCAGGTGAGTAATTCCTTCTGAGCTGCATCATACACTCTGTGTATCTGTAGGATGCATATGTACCTGCAAGATACTTATTTATATCCAGGATTCATATGTTTCTGCAAGGTAAATATATGTATCTCCAGGAATCATATTTACCTACAAGATACATATGCATCTCCCGGATTCATTTGGACCTGTAAGATACATATGTATCTCCAGGATATATATACATACCTGCAAGATACATATGCACCTTTATGATTCTTGCGTGCTTGGAGGATGATCCAGTGCATCTAGCACTTGCTTACACCTGCCCCTGACACAAGACAAGTTATCCCGGCACTAAACATACGCCGCTGCAGCACATACTTGTTCCTGCATCAAACATTTGTCTGCGCCTGTCCTCAGGCCTTCACCATGCATCTGATATTCAATTAGGCCTGTGTTGCAGAATAGATTAGTGGAATTGATTACCGGATGACATAATTGACATGGAATCAGTTTATTGTTTCAGTCTTTGGTCACAAGTTAATGTGGTTAGAGGTATATATAAAGGAGTTGGTAGATATATAACAGGAGCTACTTTGAATAGGTAAATAGACTTGCAGTTTCATTAACTGTCATGTTCTTGTGTTCACACTATCAGCTCTTTTCTCAAATCAATCAATCTGATTGATTCAATCATTGACTTTCTGCAATCAATCTTAGCTACCTATGTGCTTTAATATACTGTACCTACAATTTTCTCTCATCTTCTTTTTTTTTCATTTCATGTAATCTGTTATCATTTTTTTGTCTATAAATTTTGCAAGTATTTACCTCCTTAAAATTTTCTTAGATTAAGGACCTGCCCGAAACGCTGCACGTGCTAGTGGCTTTACAAGACTGTAATTACCATATTTGTATCCTCACATTCCTTATGTACATTCTTGTATATGCATAAATAAATAAATAAATAAATAAATAAATAAAATGCAAACTTCTTCCCTCAGAGCCGGTCGACACGAAACCCTTTCTGACGCAGGAGAAACTGATGATGAGGAGGATGGAGAGGCTTCGGACGAGGAGGAAGTCGAGATGAAGCACATCCCAACAACCAGCATTCACAACCCCACCAGTAGTGTTCACAACTCTACCATTAGCATCCACAACACCACAAACAGCATTCACAGCTCCACCAGTACCCTCCACAACCCAACGCCCTCACAATGCCCAACTCTGCCCAACCCCAAGAGGACAAGGACCCTGTCATACGAGCCGGACCTACTGAATGGGAGCCAGATGGACCCAGATCTACAGAAGGTGGCCACATCCCACCAAGAGGTGCGAGGAGACGATGAAGACAACGGTGAGAAGTTATTCTGCTTGAGTCTTGTGCCAGCATTGAAGAGACTGGAGCCCGAAAAGAGAAGCTTAGCCAAGCTGCAGATCCACAGAGTGTTGCATAACCTAGAGTTTCCTCATAACAAAGTCGAAGTGAGAGGTGATATGTCTTAAATATTAATACTACATGCAAAACATTTTTATATAGGATCATAATTGGGTTTTCATGGCATGTTAAATTAATTTCTTGGCATTAAATATTAAAATACATGTTTTAAATTTAACTTAGGAGTATCTGAAATGTGTGAGATACTTTGCAATATATCCAGAGTATTGATACGCACAGATACTCATATACCCACCAATTAATTTATGATTGTTTAGGTTTTGACAGCTGTAATGCAATTTTAAGATGCAACTGATAGCAAATATAGGTTTCATCAATGTTGAATCTTTACTCAGCACCAAGTAAACATATTTTAGGCTAATGGAACTGGATGAAGCTTATTTTTATTTAATATATTGAACAGATGAGAGGCGCTTATCTGAACTTAACAATCAGTACAAATGCTTATTGAAAACATATTTACCCATATTCCAAACCTAGACATGAATTACTGACTGAAATTGTCCAAAATAAAAGAACGATGTCCATTAAACTAACAAAATAATGACATTACCCTTAGTAATTGATGAACATTAACAGAAGAGATCCTTTAAGTTCGATGTCTTCTGCAGCATTTACTATAAACATTAGCCAATAATCATTTTGTGCAACGTTGCTTTTCAAAACATAACTGGTTTAAGTAATAAACAAAAATATAGAACAGATAACAAAATTTGCTGATAGATGCTAAGACGCAAATAAAAGAATGCTGAATACCCATGATGTTCAAAGAGGCATGCCCTGAGGATATACCCATCATCATAATTCAAAATATTGATCTAAACGAATAAGAATATTACGGCTTGGCTTTCTTTATTGAGTGTAGTGTAGCAGGGTTTCGTTTCTTGGGCCTTCCCTCTCACTAGTTAACATCATACAACTGAGACAAATCATCTTAATGCACCTTGTAAATTTATTCATTAAAATATTGACAGATTGGTGGCAAGCTCTGAGAACACTTACGTGGATTGTAATCAGGACAAACTATCTGCGAACTCTACACAATCTTCTCGTCAACTCTGTAAACCTTACACATTCTCAATGTATTGTTGCTATAAGGCAGTGATTTTCCACTTTTTTCATCTCACGACACAGTGACCGAGGCACTAAAATGATTGCGGTACTCCATCTGTATTTGATAAGCCTAATAAACCCTGAAATTAAATAACTGCATATTTGTTAAGAAATAATGTTACATGCGTAACATTACCTGACAGTAACATTGCATTGCATAACAATATTTGTTACGCAAGTATCAAATATTGTACCTGAGCTAGGAACACTGTCCAACTGACCTTGTTTGAGAGAGCGTCGATCCTCAAAGATCAGGGGCCAGATTCACGAAGGTACTTACGAAGGTTTTTCTTAGCTACGAATGTTTTCCTTCTTAGCGCCTTCGTGGCGGCTACGTCGGTATTCAGGTAGCTACACTAAGTCGAAAAACCTTCGTAAGTTTGGTCCGGGATCTAAGTGTGGTGTCGACCACTCATAGCTTTACGTAAACTGGATATAACTCAATTTTTCTCAATTACATAACACTGGGATCGATTTTAAGATTTTGGAACATAAACAAAAAATTATAGCTATTGAATCTCGTGAAGAGGAGTCCTTCATGTTAGTTATATATGCATTCTCTGCTTGAAACTTTGAGTAAATATGTCTTTTATGATATTAGAATTGAAATATTATACCAGTAGTTATTAAGTAAATAATAAAATAATAAATTAAACCTATTCAATAACCACTGAAGCTCACCTTAATTCCTTCCTCAGTGACTGTGGAATAGCTGCTGTATAGCCAGAATTCAAATTATAATCTCATTTAACTACCGTTGTGTACTTTAGCTCTGCCTTTCCTTTCAAAAGGTTTTAACTTTAGTTAAAAAAAAATTGTCATCTTTATTATTGTCTTTTTTCTTTTTTCTCCCATGTTCCATAGTACACTGGCTTTGCCTGTGTCCTCTAGTATTAACTTCATTATCCAGTGTTCCTGAGTGTATCTCTATTTAAACTACCTCATTTTGTTTTAGTGTAACTTTAGTACTCAACTATAGTGTACTTATAATAGTATAGTAAGCAAGCTTTTCACTTTGTAGATTCCATAATTGCTTTTTTACTTTTTTGGTCATCTATTGTTATTAATTATTCTAGTTCATTTTTTACATTCCTAAGTTCCCATTAAGTTTTTATTACTTAAATTACCATTAAGTTTATATTACTTTAGAATTGTTATTCTACTTTTTCTTTGTAACCCAGGTTGCCTAGCCCAACCACCATTGTAACCCAGGTTGCCTAGCCCAACCACCATTGTAACCCAGGTTGCCTAGCCCAACCACCATTGTAACCCAGGTTGCCTAGCCCAACCACCATTGTAACCCAGGTTGCCTAGCCCAACCACCATTGCCTAGCCCAAACCCCAGGTTGCCTAGCCCAACCACCATTGTAACCCAGGTTGCCTAGCCCAACCACCATTGTAACCCAGGTTGCCTAGCCCAACCACCATTGTAACCCAGGTTGCCTAGCCCAACCACCATTGTAACCCAGGTTGCCTAGCCCAACCACCATTGCTCCATTGTGCTCTTTTGCTTTGCCTGTGCAATTTTGATCATTAGTGCAAATATTTCCCAACAGTGTACCTGAAAGTACTTTTAAGCAACCTACCCCATTTTTGTGTATAGTTTTATATATATATATATTTTTCATAGCTAGTTCTTTTATCATTGTCTTTTTGGCTTTTCTGTAAAACAGCCCTCTTAGGCAAACTATTATAGATCCAGACCTTAACCTCTTATCTAGTATCTATGACAATTAGCACTTTAATGATCAAAATTGCAGATATTACACAGCACATGATGTAAACAATGTTTTAGCGTGTAATCACAATGTTCCTGTAAATAACTTGAATGTAAGATCTCTTCGCAAGCACTTTGATGATGTTAATGCTCTGATTCAAACAGTTGACAACAAATTCTCTTTTATTGTGTTTACTGAAACGTGGTTAAAAGAGGACACTTCTCAACTCTACAACATACCAAACTAATCAGCCATTCACAACTGTCTTCCTATACAAAGAGGTGGTGGTACTTCTCTTTACTACCACCATGCACTGACTTGCTTAAAAGTAATTAAATCTAGAGACCCTTATGGAGAGTATATATTTGCCTCTTTCAGAGTCAAGGGTAACGATACTGTCCTTACTGTGGGAGCAGTCTACAGGGTTCCTAACACTGATGTGACTGAATTTAACTCAAACAATAGAAATCTTATACTAGAGAACCGACTGAACAAAACCCACTTAATTATATCTGGTGACATTAACGTTGACCTCTGCGAGCCTGATAACTCTCCTGCTGCTAGTTTCCTCAACTGTATGAATTCCTGCTTCCTCATACCCGTAATCATTAGACCTACTAGAATCACTGATAGTCCTGCCACGGCTCTTGATCACATCTGGACCAACATAACCTCTCCGCTTACTTCAGGGATAATCATCGATAGCACTACAGACCATTACCCCACATTTCTCCTAACCAACATTAACAAACCACCTCTAGAGGCAAAGCAGATAAGCTTTAGGCTGCACAATGAAACTGCTATAGGCAATTTTATAGCTGCTGCTGCTAATATCAACTGGGAATCTGAATTAGGGAACATAGGGGACATCAACCTAGCAGTGCAATCATTTCTTCAAAAAACTCTCAGCCTTTATAACACCCACTGTCCTATGCTAAAGAAACAAGTCACAACTAAAAGGCTAAACAATCCTTGGCTTACAAAGGGGATACTTAAATCCATTAATAAAAAACATGACCTTGAGAAGAAGTATAGGTTAGGAATCGTCTCCAAAGAATTCTCAAAGAATTACTCATCATTGCTATCTAAAATAATTAGGAGAGCCAAAATTAAATACTACGAAGACAAATTTACCCACACAAAGGGCAATATTAAGAAAACATGGAGCACAATTTCTCAAATATTGGGATCAAAGAAGATTATAAATAACAAACCAATACTCCTATCAAATAATGATGGTCTGCTTTCAGCCTCTGACACTGCTCTTGAGTTCAATAGGTTCTTCTCTTCCATTGGGTCATCCCTTGCAAATGATATTCCATCGTCCAGTACTAATATTCAGGACTATCTTACAGGAAACTATCCACAGTCTCTGTACCTAATGCCTACTAATTCCACTGATGTTACTGACATAATCCTTTCCCTTAAAACCAAGTCTAGTGCCCTTGAGGAGATACCAACTCTTATTTACAAAAAAGCCTCCAGATTTTTAGCCTCTGCTATTGCATTGCTCTTCAACAAGTCACTTGAACTCCAAACCGTTCCAGATATTCTAAAAAAAAGCGAGAGTAACCCCTGTCCACAAATGTGGTGATCCCACTGATGTTAACAACTTCAGACCTATATCAATTCTGCCAAACTTATCAAAAACATTTGAAAAACTAAACTATAAACAGCTTTACTCTTATCTAGCCAAACTCAATATACTTAGCTCTTGTCAATATGGCTTCAGACCCCCAAAAAGCACTAACGATGCACTTATTAGTATGATTAACTCGATTTATACAGCTCTTGATAAAAATGAGTTCCCTGTTGGGTTATTTGTAGACCTGCTTAAGGCTTTTGACACTGTTAACCACCAAAACCTTCTTCTTAAATTACAACATTATGGAGTCAGAGGTCACTCCCTGCAGTACATTAAGTCTTACCTTACTGACAGGCTCCAGTATGTTTCAGTGAATAATTCAATTTCTCCTACCATACTCATCAACATTGGTGTTCCCCAGGGCAGCATACTTGGCCCTCTCCTCTTTCTCATCTACATTAATGACCTTCCAAATGCCTCCCAACATCTCAAACCAATTCTATTTGCTGATGATTTGACCTTCATTTACTCCAGTCATGACCCCCATGCTCTAAATGTCACAGTGAATACTGAGCTAAATAAAGTCCATCACTGGCTAACTGCCAACAAACTCACCCTCAATATTGACAAA